AAACAAGTATGTTACATTTGCATTATTCTATTAGGTTTAAGAATGAATGAAGAGAAACAATATTCATTGTTTACTCAAATGTTTACAAGTTTCAGTGCATGTACAAAATTGTAGATATTTAATTTGCAAATCTCTTAATATGAAATTTGTCAACAGGATTATTAAAACTACGAATAAATACTAAAGATTTGAGAAGCAGTCAAAACAACAGTCGATTACCATTTTATGTCCCAGAATATAAACAGTCCACTAGGTCAGTGGAATTGTAGTCTCGTTGTATTTTCCTCGTTCTATTCACTGTAGCAGTGCGTAACGTGGCAATTAATCCCTTCAGAACAAGAAGACAACGTGAAAATTCAGAGTCCACAGTTTTCTATACAATGTTGCTTGAAGTTTATTGTTAGCTGCGTTAGCGATCCGTGGGCACGAACATATGTAGACGTCGAATACATAAATAGGGAAAGGCAGATACCAAATAAACCAGTAAACGAGAAGCTATAATAATGAAAGCTAATCATTAATATATATATAAAATGTTATCTTTTGTACGTTTCATTCTGTTGATAACTTTTTTTCTGAAGCTTCTTCGTTTTTATAAAAATAATTCTAAGGCGAGTTTCATTGCGATGTAGCGCAGCTTATTATAAATGTCGGTGTCAGTGCGCTTCCAGCGCTTCTTCAGCATACAGACGTAAGTACTGCATCTATGTATTGACTATATATCGTGCGTATTGTATTGTCTGGTGAGTCGTTGAACGTAGAGGAGGTACGATCTCAGCTTTTCCGATTTCCAGCGCGGTTCTCTTGAATCCTAAAACCATGAAAGCGAAACTGGATTTAACGGCCGAGGTGGCATGGTCGAAATTGCAACAATATTACGACGCGAACGGCTCGAAACTTAAGATAATCGACCTCTTCCAGCAGAATCCCAAGCGTTACGAAAATTTTAGGTAAGTTTCGCCGATCCTTGATATGTGACCTTCACGCGACCTTCTGAAGGCTGTCGGTTCCAATGAAATTCTGACCTTGATTACAATTTCTTTATTCATTCTCTTCGTTTATAACATGTCTTTAGTAGATATTTTCAGTTTAGATTGTTTGTCAGATATTCATTTACTATGTCATATATTGACAAATTTTTATTCAGTTTTATAGTGTAACATAAGCGTTATTTTTACAATATGTTCATTGACCAGCTTAGAAATTTCTACACCCGACGATGGACCTATTTTGCTGGATTATTCCAAGAATCGTCTCACCGAAGAAGCATTGCAATTATTAATGGATCTGGTATGTATTATATTACATAAGTACTAAAACGATACAATGCTAGAATTGTAATTATTATTGGAATCATCATCTAGCATAATGTTACATAAGTATTAAAAATTATACATCATGATAAGACATGAACTCTTGATTATTCGTTTCCTATAACTGATTGTAATGAATTATAATTATTTTTAGGCAAGAGCACGTGAAATTGAAGCTGCAAGGGATGCCATGTTCAAAGGAGAGAAAATTAATTTCACAGAAAACAGGGCAGTTTTACATATTGCCTTGCGTAACAGAAGTAACAAGCCAATACTGGTTGATAATAAAGATGTAATGCCAGATGTGAACGCCGTATTGGATCATATGAAACAGTTCACTAACGAGGTAACATAATCAATTAAATGCATGTTTTTATTTATTAAATACGAAGATTTAATTCGCTCTGTTGCGTCTTGTAGGTATTGTCGAAACAGTGGAAAGGATTCACCGGCAAACCGATCGAAGATGTCGTTAACATTGGAATCGGTGGCTCAGATTTGGTAGGTGATACGTTTTTAATGTATTTATAAA